CCAAAGCTGACCAGGGGTAGCCCTGGTGATGGTCGGCCCACCAGGCACAGGATTCTTTCCAAGTTTGTGTCTAGGTCCGGCCTTGGAAGGTGTGGTGGGGTGGTGCAAAGTTGCTGGCGGGCTGGGGGAGGGGGAGGGAGGAAAGGTGGGAAGATAGATAGATAGATAGATTAGAAGGCCTTGTGGGGCTGCGGGGGTCAAGCTGAATGAACTCCTTCCAGGGCAGGCAGCAGGAGAGGTGAGTGGAGGATGAGTCGGGTCCCAGCCCAAAGTGGGCAGTGGGAGGTGGGTAACCCCCAATCACCCCCACCATCACCACCCCAACCCCATCCCCTGTGTGTTCCATGGTGGTGGTGAAAGCACGGTGGGGAAGTGTCGGGGTGGGGGTGGGGAGGCATCCGCTGTGTCACGTACATTTACTGAGAGTGCCTGGTGGGGTAAGGACTGGGGAGTGGTGGGCGTGGGTGGGGTGAGGAGAGGGAGCACCAGAGCAGAAGATTGTTTCAATCTCTAATTCTTGCATGATACCAAGTTCAACCTGCTCTGTGGAACCTCACCAGGTTGGTAAGTGAGGAGTGGGCTTACTACCTGAGAGAACCTGAGTCAAACTCAGCTCTCCGGATCCTACATCAGGGCTGTATGCCTGCTGGAAAGGGAGAGTGGGAGCAGGGAAGCAGGCGTACCATGACCAAAGGTCAAGAGTAAGCAGAGAGCAGGACTCCAGGGTCCAGCTCCTGGGCATCTCATCGCCCTTCCATCTGCATCCTGGCATCCATTCACCATCACCTGCTAACCACAGTTTGACAGTGGCTTTCTGAAATCACTGCCTGCCTCTTTGTAAGTTTATTTTCCAATTCCTCTCATCTTTGGGGACAACTCTCCCAGGGGCCAGGCGGAGAGAACTGACCCAGGAGACCTCAGCCCCTCTCACCAGGCTTGTCACAGCCGTGGAAGCAAGTAGCTGCAGGAATCAAATTCTCATTTCCCTGCATTGGCCTCAAACGGGTCTTCTGCAGTTGTTAAGGACAATCTGCTTCCTGAGCCCAGGGAGCATCCTCTTTTCAGGCCGCCTAACTAGGCCAAATTCCTGGGCAGCTCTCCTCTTACTTTGGTATTGTCCTGAACGACCCCCTCTTCTGCCCTGGCCTGCATTGCAGTGGGTCAAGGGAGTTCTCCTAACCTCACAGAGCAAGCTGATAGATAGCCTGTTAATAGGCCTGGGAATCTCATTGAGCCTCTGCAGGTTGCTGGGGCCTGCAGGAGTTTCCTCCAGTGGACCTCTGAGCGTCAGACAAGTTAACCTCACAGTCAAGGCCAGGCGTCAGGGTGGTGGGCATGTCATCAAGTGGAGTGGAATGGCAGAAGGCAGTGGCATGGTGCGAGGGAGGGGCTGGCGTCAGACACACCGGGGTTTGACTAGCATATTTGCCGTGTTCTTATGCAAAGCTACCAAAGGTCTGCAGCCCCAGCTTCCCCAGTTGCATGCACACCAGCACAAATCATACTCCTTGGTCACCGGAGGGTGGTGGGGATGAAATGAGATGAATAAATCCAGCCGAATCGGGCTTCTGGGAAGGGCTTTCTGCCCGCTCCCCTCCCCCTTCTCCTCTTGGAGGGAGACATGTCTGTTTACCAGCAGAGGGAAAGTAGGATTTTTTTGGTCTTGAAACGTGTCCAGAAAGTGTTCATTACACTCGTTTCTGAAAGTCCAAATGATGCCACCAGAAATTCAGTGTTGAAGTGTTAACCTGCACGTGGGTTCTTCTTGTTTCATTTCCATTTGGCGGTGGTAAAACTGGGATATGATCTTAGGTACTCTAGGATCTGAAGTTCCTGAAGGGTGCAAACTGGGAAGTGCTTGGCGACTTGCCCAAAGGCTAGCATTTCCACCCCATCCAGAAGTGTTGCTGAAGACAGGCCTGCTGATCTGCTTCCAAAAGTTCACAGCCTTGAAAACCCGATGGGGCCGTTCTGCTGTATACACAGTGGGTTGCCATGAGCTGGAATTGATTTGACATCAACCAGCAATCACAACTAAAGCATGAGCTCATGATTATTCTGTCCTCGCTTCTTCCTGTGGACCACATAGTCTTGCCTCACGAATTCATTTGAAAGAAAAAAGTGAATCTTATAGGTTATGGGTTGGGCTAATAACCCAAGGTTGGCAGTTTGAAACCACCAGCTACTCCCAGGGAGGAAGATGAGGATTTCTATTCCCTTAAGATTTATAGCCTCGTAAATGCAAAGGGACAATTCTACCTGGTCGAATAAGGGTCACTGAATCATTAGATGACAGTGAGCGGCTCTCCCTTGGCTAACTGGGAATGCCTCATTCCCCTCCCACTGAACTTGATGTTGTCAGTCAACCATGAGATGCTATTTCTTGATTTTACCTGTTCTGTCCTCCTTCGAGGCCAAATTAACTGGCCCTTGCTCTGCTATCCCAGGTCTGTACGAACTACCTCAGCATGTCTCAATAGGGGCACGTGAGCATTTTTGCCTTACTAGTACAAGGCCTGACCCTCAATGACTCCCTGATGAATCGTTTCATGAGGAAGTGGCAGGTATGGATGTTTGAATATATCCCATTTGTATATAAAAAAATTAATCATCTCAAAATTTGGTTGATTTTAAAATTTGCCAGGACGAAGATACTTGTGGGATGGTTTCTCTCTCTTTTTATAAAACGAACAAAGTGACTCCATTTGTATTTGTAAAGTGGACTGATACAAATGATGGATGCCCTGGGCTGCTACCGGAAAGGTGGAAGGTTGGAGTCCAGCCAGAAGAGCCTAGAGGTGGGTGTGGGCAGTCTGGTGACCTACCCTGTTTCTCCAAAAATAAGACAGTGTCTTATATTAATTTTTGCTCCCAAAGATGCGCTAGGTCTTATTTTCAGGGGATGTCTTATTTTTCCATGAAGAGGAATATGGTACACATTTATTGTTTATTGTTTTTTTAAAAGAGACCTTGAACTTCCTGTCTGCTCCGGCTGCACTGTGGCCAACAGTGAGCTGTATGGTGGCGCCTGCTGCTACGGTCCAGAGTCCAGAAGCTTCGGGGGGCCTTATTTTCAGGGAGGTCTTATTTTTTGTGGGGGCTATACCTTATATTTCAGCAAGAGACAAAACTGTAAGTAGGTCTTATTTTCGGGGGATATCTTACTTTCAGGGAAACAGGGTACTTCCCCAAATCAGCCGTTGAAAACCCTGAGGAACATGATTCCATTCTGATACCTATGGGGCTGCCGTGAGTTGGGTTGACCCAAAGGCAACTGGTATCTGTAGGCTGCTAAAGCCTGCAGCAAGAGGGCAATGTGCGGAGGGGAAGCTGGGCCAAGAGAGGCAACGTCCTTGCTCGGTTTGGAGAAATAACCTAATGTTTGCATGCTCCCCACATGTCTATTCATCCTGAAATGGAAGGTGAGAGCTGCTATGCCAATTTTGATTTCTTCATTCCCAGCTAATAACAGCAGCAGTAACAACAACCATCGCAACAACATTTTACAGCGGCTATATCCTAAACTCCTACCCTGAAATGAGACAGGAATTCATCTTTGAGGACCTCTTTTTCATGGTCTAGTTGAAAAAAGAAAAGAAAAAAAAAAAGGGACTGTTTAGTGCTTCACTTGTGGCCACATCTTTCAAGCTGGTGGTAGAACTTGGATTCGAACCCATCTTGGGCGCTAACTAAATCGTGTGAATTATCTCTTAATAGATCTACTCACTCTCCATGCCTGGGGACATTCCATTGGTTGAGGCCAGCATCATTCTTTGGTAGACTTGCAACAAACTCCTAGTCTAGTCATCCTACCTCCTGTCTTGTTCTTCTTCAAACCCAGTCCAACACTGTACACTTCTAAGGCTCTCTTGCCTTTAATCTAAATCTCAACCCGTCTTAACTCAGTTACTAATGCTTCGTGATATTGTCCTAGCCTACTTCCTGAACTTCACAATAGTCATTCTCCCTCCAAACCAAATCCACTGCTGTCGAATGGATTCCAACCTATAGCAACACTATGGGACAGAGTAAAACGGCCACAGAGGGTTTCCTAGGCTGTAAATCTTTATAGGGACAGAATGCTAGGTTTTCTTTTCCCCAAGACTGCTCCCAGGGCTCCTAGTGGCATAGTGGTTATGAGTTGGCCTCTGATCTGCAAGGTCAGCAGTTTGAAACCATTAGTGGCTTCTTGGGTGAAAGATGGGGCTTAGTACACCTGTAAAGAGTTACTGCCTCAGAAACCCACAGGGGCAATTCTACCATGTCCTATAGGGCCACTATGAGCCAGTATTGACTCTATAACTGAGTTTGATTTTTGTTTGAAGAGTTGCTGGGTGGACTTGAACTGCTTACCTTTTGGTTAGCAGCTGAATGCTTGAACCACTGTACCATGAGAGCTCACTGTCCTCCCTCCCCACATTATATTCCTGAAGAAATAAAATGTAATCTCCTTGCAATTTTATTGACCTTAACATAGTAAATGTTTTAAATGCATTATCTTAATTCTCACCCTCACTCTATTAGTGAGATTATTGTATCAAATCTGAAGCCAGATATTCCTGATTGGGAAACCACATATTGAATTCTAAGATCAATGGTTTCTACCTGAAAATTTCCAAATATGCTGATGTCAGGGTCATTTTTCTTTTACTTCGCTACTTTATTTTTCAGTAACTTGTACTTACTTTTTCAGGTTGTGACTAGACAACCCTCCCTCAAAGATGAATTGTCTGATTCCTCCAGATTGGTCAGTTCCTCTGCTTGTTTCCCCTGTCTTGTTCCATCTTATTTCTATCCAGCCCTCTCCTTTTTGAAATTGTATACTTGCCTGAGTCCCTCACAGACTGCCCTTTCCGATCCCTCTTGGAGGGCAGTTATACTGCCTTGGCTTCACCTTCTTCTTCTGGAGAGAAAGCTGCTTCCATCCAACGTTCTCACAAGTTCTCTTGGAGAATTTAGTATCTACGAGGATATGAGTCTGTTGCCTTCTCCTCCCACAGATGCAGCCACACACTCAAAACACGACTCACGTAACAGAGTTTGTCATGATGGGCTTTACTGGGGTCCACGAAGCGCGACTCTTCTTCTTCACACTCTTCCTCATCATGTACCTGTTCACGTTGATGGAAAACTTGGCCATTATCTTGGTGGTGTGTTTGGACCACCGGTTACGGAGGCCCATGTACTTCTTCTTGACACACTTGTCTTGCCTTGAAATCTGGTACACTTCAGTCACAGTGCCTAAGATGTTGGCTGGTTTCACTGAAGTGGATGGGGGTAAGAACATCTCCTATGCTGGCTGCCTGTCCCAACTCTTCATCTTCACCTTCCTTGGGGCAACTGAATGTTTCCTCCTGGCTGCTATGGCCTATGACCGCTACGTGGCCATTTGTATGCCTCTCCGCTATGGGGCCTTAGTGTCATGGGGCAGCTGCATCCGCCTGGCATCTGCTTGTTGGCTGGTGGGCTTTCTCACACCCGTGTTGCCCATCTACCTCATGTCCCAGGTGACCTTTTGTGGTCCTAATGTTGTTGACCACTTCTTCTGCGATGTCTCTCCCCTGCTAGCCCTGGCTTGCTCGGATGTCACCCTGAAGGAGACTGTGGACTTTGCGGTCTCTCTGGCTGTGCTCCTGGTCTCCTCCACAGTCATTGCTGTGTCCTATGTCAACATAGTCTGGGTGCTGCTGCACATGCGCTCAGCTGTGGAGCGCCGGAAGGCCTTCTCTACTTGTGTGGCGCATCTGACTGTGGTAAGTCTCTTTTATGGTACTCTTTTCTTCATGTATGTCCGCACCAAAGTGGCTTCCTCCGTCAACTTCAACAAAGTGGTTTCTGTCTTCTACTCTATTGTCACGCCGATGCTCAACCCTCTCATCTACAGTCTTCGGAACAAGGAAGTGAAGGGAGCTCTGGGCCATGCCTTTTCCATCAAGGTTTGGAAGGGGCACTGAGGAGTCACGTGGGGGCCCTGGTTTTCTCACTTTGAATATTTAGCAGGACGAGACATACTTGTGTCTTAAGTAGGTGAAGCCATCGTTTTCATTCACCTCTTTTCGTGAGAACCTAGTCACAAGGCTCTATCTAATTGTCATGGTGGACAAGATTACCTAGCTCGCCCAGCCAATCCAATTATTATGGAAACAGGGAGAATACATTTTGGTGGACAACCCACCTTTTCCACTATGTAGACTAAGCCCACAGATTCTGCATTAAAAGAAATTCATGCAACAAATGCACACTGCTCTCCTTGGCCTCTCCGTTCTCTTACTTGAAATACAGAGGAATCCTCCCCTCTGTACAATGGCATTTTGAAAGTTAAAGATCCTGAGGACATTGTTACCTCACATAGAGCAAGGCATACGAAGACACAACTTAAGTTGTTTTCCACATGGAGACAGTTGCACTCCTAAAGACATTTATAATGAGCAGTTTGCGATAGAGTCCAGAAACGATAGTGTACAGGAGAGGAGCTTGAGACTGGGCGGAAAGAAGGTCACCTTTGTGTGTGTGTGTGTGTGTGTGTGTGTGTGTGTGGCATGTCTCAACTGACCAATGTTGAACAGATTGCACGATGGTGCCCCTTCATCATTAATTACAGTCTCCCCTCCACAACCCCCTCGGCATCTTAGCCGTTGGGTTTTCCATAGTGAGCAGAAAGGGCCCACATGACGCATTTGAGAACTCACTCATTTGTTGGAGGAGACATCAGTAAGGCGCTTCGGATGACATGCGAGGTTAGAAATGCAAGCGGGCTGAGAAATGCAAAGCAATGCCAGGGAAGGGCCTTCTGCTGTTAATGATAGCAAGCTGTCTCAATGACGTAGACGAAGCTACTTCCGGGTACCTGGCCTCAGTGGAGTTGAACACATTGTGAATGTGCTGGGTTACATAGTTCCAATTTGTGGTAGCAGGAAGAACTTAAATTCAAATACAGAGAGTGTTTTTTTGGTGTTGAAAACAACTCCTTGGGAAGTTCCAGTGAGGCTTACAATTTTAAGCTTCTTGAATAATACATCTATATTTTTGACATAAAAGACATAAAATGGTAAAAAAAAACCCCAGAGGAATATCTTTAGATAGGATCTTACACATGTAGAAGTCAACCTTGCTTTAATAAAACTTGGTATGAGAAACTAAACTGGAAATCAACCCTTGTGTGATTATTGCTGTTACAGTGTTGCGACATCTACTCTCTTAGAGCGCAGACCTACCAGAATCTGGTGCTGAAGGGTGCCTGGTATGTTAGATATCAACAGCCGAACTAAAGGAAACCTTTACTGTGGCAAAATACATAGAGAAAAAAGGTTTCCGTTTGAGTTATTTAAAAGTGTTTAACCCAGAGAACTTAATTACACTCACCTTGTATCTAATCACGGACACTATCCATTTCCAAAAATCTTTTTATCGGTCTCAACAGAAACTCAATATCCTTTGAATACTAACTCCCCATTCTCTTCTTTCTTTAGCACTTGGGAACCACTAGTAAACACTGGTTTCTGTATATTTTCCCATTCCAGATATTTCCTATGAGTGGAACCATACAATATTTAAGGATGAACTTACTTCACACAGCATAGTCTTTGCAAGCAGTGTCCATGTCATAGCATGTATTAGAACCTGACTTCTCTTTATGGCTGCCTCATATTTTATTGTGTATACACGCCCCCTCCCCCCATTTTGTTTACCCAATCATCCGTTGAAGGGCACTAGGGTTGTTTTCGTCTTTTGACATTACATATAATACTTGAACAAGCACTGGTGTACAGACAGCTGCTTTTAAAGCTGCAACAAATGCAGACCAATCAGTAGTGGAGGTAAGCTGTGAAATCATGTCAGTGGAAATGCACATTTTTGTAAACAATGATTTTCTCTAAATACAGCTTCTTTGGGATGATATCTATTGCATGAAGTGAAATATATGTATGTAGCATATATTTGTCTCATATGTAGCATTAACCCCATCTAGACACTACTCACTGGTACTCAGTGTCACAGCAAGAATGCCAGATAGAAACAAGGCTTACAAAGTGCTGCTTATCTCATTTTGCCCACTCTGGATACCAGGATCTCAACTTAGTCATTCGTTAGGGACTGTCTAATAACCATTCTAGAGCTTCGATGTGGGACTTTATCGTGTGTGGACTATATCTCTTCTGGATACAGAACTCGGTAGAGTTTGTTGTACATCATTAAATGCAACCATTATCAAACACTCATGAGATGCTTACAGGAGCGCTGGTGGCCTAGTGGTGACTGCTAACTGCAAGGTCAGTAGTTTGAAACCATTAATTGCTCTGAGAGAAAAGATGGGACTTGCTCTTCCTGTAAAGCATTGCAGTCTTGAAAACACATGGGGGCAGTTCTACCCTGCGTGATAGGGTCGCTATGAGTCAGCACCGACTTGATGGCAGTGCGTCTCAGTGAGTTTTGAGGTGAGTATAATTTACTAAGGAACAAAGGCCCATCCGAACTCTCTTCCATGCTTTCATGTTGTTTTTATCTTTGCACCCGTGCTGGAATCCCACTTCTGTTCTCAGTCTTTGAGGATTCTCATCCGTCTCTCTCTCTTTTCACTCTTTGTGTGACAAGTCTTTCGGAGTTGATTTTCTAAGGCACATTTCTGAAAATTCTGGGTTTGGTCATGGGATGCTCTCTGCTTCTCTAGATTGAGTTTTCTTTTTATCTAAGTCCATATTTTCTTTAGTGGACTCAATTTCATTGACCCCAATAACACTGTAAGCCATGGCAAGGTAGGGATATGCTAAAACCCTTTGGCAAGGACTTAGAATGGTTTTTATTGCCATGAGAGGTGGATGTCTTGATACCTTGAGACATTTGGCACATCATTATACAATATATACAACACCAAGGAGTACCTTAGAACACTATCATTTCATTAAATGACAATATGTTGTGGGCTTGATCAGCCTCTTCACTTTCACATGGAAGTGGTGGGCTTTGGTGAGTCCGTGATAATCACTGTCCTTATCAACTCAAATGAAGGCAGTAGGCCAGAGCAGGTATCGGCTAATTGTTGTTCGGTGCCTTCCAGTTGGTTCTGACCCATAGTGTCCTTATGTACTACAGAACGAAAGGCTGCCAGTTCCCGTGCCATCTTGCAGCCAGTGTCAACCCATCTTGTCGAGGGCCTCCCTCTTTTTTTTGCTCCCCTCCACTTTACCAAGCATGGTGTCCTTCTCCGAGGACTGGTCTCTCCTAATGACATGTCCAAAGTACATGAGACCAAGTCTCGCCACCCTTGCTTTTAAGGAGCATTCTGGCTGTACATCTTTCAAGATAGATTTGGTTGTTCTTTTGGAAGTCTGTGGTACTTTCTAAATGCTTGGTCAGCACCATAATTCAAATGCATTGAATTATGCATTATGAGACAACTAAAAATACCATGGCTTAGGTCAGTCTAACTTAGTCTTCAAAGTAAATTCCTTGCTTTTCAACATTCTAATGATGTCTCATTACTTCCTTAAAAATAGTTTCACCATGCTAGACCACAAGCTCTTTGATTGTAAGGACTATGCCTTATCCACTCTGAAGTTCTTTTCCCAAGGCCTATGTTTCTTTTAAAAAAAATTATTTTAT